AAACCTATCATGGGGTTTTATTGGCAAGTTTTTTTCCGAGTGGACTTGCCATTCCCTGAGGCTGAGAGAGTGTGATTTGCCCAAAGTCACCCAATGGGTTTATATGGCTGAGGCAGGATTCAAACCCTAGTCTCCAGACTCTTAGTCCAATGATCAAACCTCTACACCGGCATAAAAGAAGCCATATTTGTTCATGTGGGTAAGTTATTACATATTTACCTCACCTTAGGGCCAAGCTCTCAGAAGGCAGCAGGAAGAAAAAAGAATTAAGATTAAGAACATCAGATAAAGAGTGACATTCCCACTAAGGCATATTCTCCAAGATGCCCAGTCCTAAAGATCCTCTATACTGCAAACTCTTGTGAAAAGAATTCCACATTAAGGGCATCCACTCTTAATGTTAGAATTCCCAGAGATCATTGTGAATAATCTTCTACAATTAAAAGAACTTGGGTTTTGCAGTATGCAAACAGTCCTGCTTCTATCCAACCTGCATGAACAACACACAGCTGTATTGCAGTTACTTCTGTGGTTATTTCCTTCACTGGCACTAGGTGGCACTCTTGCTTTACTTCATTTATCTGGAAGGGACACTGGTGAGAAGAACCTTGTCCTTTCCAACTTATGGCAACCCTAAGGCAAACCTATAATGGGTTTCTTGGCAAGAGTTGTTCAGAGGAGGTTTGCCATTGCCTTCTCCCGAGGCTGAGAGAGTGTGACTTGCCCAAGGTCACCCAGTGGGTTTCCATGGCCGACCAGGGAATTGAACCCTGGTCTCCAGAGTCATAGTCCAACACTCAGATCACTATGTCCACCCTGGCTCCAAAGCCCTAAATAGCTCAGGCTTCAGATACTTAAGGGACAATTTGATCCGGTATCGACCCACCCCAAATTTGAGATCTGCCAAGCAAAGTCTGCCGATGGTACCCTCCATCAGTGAGGCTTAGTACGGCTATCACATATGGCAGGGCTTACTCAGTGGTAGCACCCCATTTACGAAATTCCCTTTCATCAGAGATCCAAGTGATCTGCCATACTCTTGTCTTTCAGATCCCAGTTAAAAAAGATATCTGCTCATTTGGGGGGAAAAAACAATTGGGAACAATGCAAGTGATTTAATTTTTCTTTGTGTCATTTTTATGGTATTTTAACTATTTTTTTTAATTTATGGCTTTAGATATTTAGAATT